GTACCATTTATTTAATTAGGTCCTAGGGAAGAAAAGAAGTGTCACTCATTCATTCATAATTTTGGCAAGTATTCATTAGGCATCACTAGGTGCTGACACCAGGTGGAATTAGGGGCCTCGGTTTTCACTGCAAGTCCCTGCTAGAGATAGACAATTACAGAAGCAATGTAGAATACATTGTGACCATGTTATTTATGATAAACTGAGGAATATGAGGTTCCATGAAAATGTAGAGAATACAAAAAATATATAAAACATCATTATTTTCACAAAAGCTTTTACACCTGTCATCAAATATGCACATCGCTTTACTGCCCTGCTCACATAAAGGCTGCCCTTGTTATCATTTTACCAATAGTAGTATATTACAGTTTATTCCTTTTCTAGCCACTTAGGACTGGTATACAAGTAAACCGGGAGCTGACGAGGGCTAGATCACGCTTCTCTGGAAGAAGCCGATACTCTCCATCTCCAGTTTCATTTCAGAGGCTTTGGTCATCTCACTTTCTGCTGCTGGGGCTGGTAGAAGTTTGTGTTGTGATGTATTACATTTGTCATCACGTGTCCCCAAAGCCCCTCCTTCTCATACTGCTTTATTGCAGCACAAGGTCTAAAACCTATGAATCTTGCTGTCTTCCAGTAGCCCCCTTCCATAACACGGTGACCTGTGCAGAATTAGAGCTAATAATTCAAACCAAAAGGGATAAAAATCATAAAGCAACTGGCTTGCTTCCAGATTCCACTAAGACATTTTTAAAGCCCGAATCAAATATTTTAGGCAGTGCCCTTTGTGTGGCAGAATTAAGGCTATGTGTGTGTGTGTGTGTGTGTGTGTGTGTGTGTGCATGTATGTCTTCCTCTTTTTCTCAATCTGTCTCTCTCACTCATAGAAGAAATAAACTTTTAAAAGACAGAAGGTCCAAGTTCATATGGCTGCAGTGCTGAATTTCACCATACATTTATAGAAGAATTAAGTTTTCATAAACTCTTCCAGAAAACAAAAGTAGAAGAGGGAACAGTCCCCAGCTTCTTCTATGAGGCTAACATTACCCTGAAACCAAAACCGGAAAATGATATAAGTAATTATAGACTACTATTATTTTTTAATATAGACATAAAAATCTTCAACAAAACACGGGTGAACTGAATCCAGTAATATGGAAAACAGGATTACATACCACAATCAACTGAGATTTATTCCAGGTATGCAAGGCTGGCTGCAACTGAGCAATACGGGCCAGAGAGAAACTGCCTAGACTTGACGATGGGCATCTATGAAAATTCCAACGGTAACATCATGCTTTGCGGTGAGACTGAAAATCTCTCTCTTCAAAATCAGAACTAAGACAAGGACGTCTGCTCTTCCCGCTTCTACTCAATATTGTGCTGGAAGTTCTAGCCAGGTCAGTCAGGTAAGGAAAGGAAAGGCAAGGAAAGGCTTGCGTGCTGAAAAAGGAGACGCTGTGAACAGATTTCACCTTTCACAAAAGAAGCTGCACCACCTATAATTGCAAGTGAAGATCCTGTATCTAGAAAATCCTAAGGAGTCCAATTACAACTACTGGAATTAATTCATCAGTTCAGCAAGGTTACAGGATACAAAACAATACAAAAACCAATTGTATTTAGATACACCCAATATACACAATCTAGAAATAAAACAAACAATTCCACTTACAACAGTAAAAAAAAAAATACAATATTTTTGGGATTTTATTTATTTATTTATTTTAATTTGCAAGGGAGAGGTTTTTTTGCTATAAGGCACGTGCACTCACCAGAAAGAGACAGAGAGACAGAAAGTGAGAAGTCATCCCCTGGGGGGGGGGGGGGCACGCACACACAATCCTTCTTGGGATCTTGGGCATGCACACACACGGGCCCGGTGTGAGTTTAAGCCACTGGGTCTGGGATTCGAACTGCAGTTGACCACGTGGGAGTCCAGCAACATAGCCATTATGCCAACTGCTGGTTCCGGGATTTTTTTTAAGAGAGATTTTTGCTGTAGGGCACACGTGCTCACTGGAAAGACAAAGAGACAGAAAGTGACAAATCATCCCTCGAGGGGTTGGCCACACCACAACCCCTTCTCCTCCATTCTCCTCTCAGGGTTTTGAGCACATTCATACATGCTCTCAGCATGAATTTTAAGGCACTGGATCTGGGACTTGAACTGCAGTCAACCACGTTGGAGTCTAGCAACATAACCATTATGCCATCTTTACACCATCTGCTGGTCCCCAAAAGAAGATACTTTGGAATAAATTTAACAAAAGAAATATAAAACTTACTCTGAGAAACTATAAAAGTGTAATGAGAGAAACAAAGACCTAAAAAAAGGGAAAGAGATTCCATGTTCAAAGATTGGAAGACTTAACACTAAGATCAGCAATACTGCCCAAATTAACCTACAGATTCAGTCTCTATCAAAATGCCAGTTGGCTTCTTGGAAAAAATGATAAGCTGATCCTGAAATTCATAAGGAAGCCGAGAGTTCCAGAATAGCTAAACCTATCTTGAAAAAGAAGAATGTTGGAGGACTCACACTTCCCAGTTTCAACACTTACTACAAACCAACAGCAATCGAAGACTGTGGTACTGGCAAAGGACAGATTACAATCAATGGAATTGAGAGTCTAGAAATAAATAACGTTTATAGTCCATTGATTTTCAGCAAGGGAGCCAGGACAATTCAATGTGCAATGATTAGTCTTCTCAAATAACTGTGCTGGATGGCTGGACAGCAAAAGAATAAGGATTTTTTTTTTTCTAGTAACGTATTCAAAAATCATCTCAAAATAGACTATCACAGGCCTAATTTTAAGAACTAAATCTATAAAACGCTTCAGAAAAAACACAGTAAATCTTCGTGACCTCAAGCTAGGCAATGATTTCTTAAATGAAAACAAAACACAAGCAAGAAAACAAAAACACGGATCTCATTAACATTAAGAACTTTTGTGAGCCTGTGGCCTGCTGGTTAAAGTGACTAGAATCCACATGGTCAATTGTGCAGTTCACGTCCTGGACTCAGCAGCTTGAAAAACTGTGCCAGGCACATATGCATGAGTGCCAAAAACCCAAATAGGAGGGAGAAATGGATGACCATTCCCCGGAGAGGTTCTTTCTCACTCTCTCCTTAAAGCACAAACACCCTCTGGAAAATTGTAAAAACAAAAAAACTTTTGTACTTACAAGAACACCATCAAGAAAGTGAAAAGACAACCAAAAGAACGTGAGAAGATATTTACAAATCACATGTCTGATAAGAAATGTGTATTTAGAATATATGAAGAAGACTTATAACTCAAAAATGAAAAAACAAACCTCAATTTAAAAATATGCTAAGTATCTGAAGACAAATTTCCCCCCAAAAATACAGAACTGGCTAAGAAGCACATGAAAACATGCCCAACATCTTAAGTCATCAAGGAAATGCAAATCAAACCCACAAAAGAGATGTCACTGTGTACCTACTGGGAGGCTACCGTCAAACGGGTGGGCAGTACAAGGGGTGCCGACGACGTGGAGAAATGGGAACCCTCCTATGAGGCAGACAGGAACGTAAAACGGCACCACTGCTCAGGAAAACAGTCCGGCAGCTCCTCAAAAGGTTGAACATACAGTCACCATATGACCCGCATAACGAATGCATGACTGAAATACGGCGGATTCACACGATTATTCGGTAATAAGAAGACGAAAAGGACTGACAGTGGTACAGCACGGATGGGCCTTGAAAACCTGCACTAAGTGACAGATGCCAGCTGCAAAAAGACAGATACTGCATTACCCCGTGTATAGGGAATGTCCAGAATTAGCACATCCTTAGACAGAAAGGTTAGTCACTGCCTAGAGCGTGGGATGCGAGGGAACAGGGCAACAGGGAGTGACTGCGAGTGACCGCAGGGTCTTCGGGTTCTAACACTGTCTGCGGGGAGGCTGCACGTGACCAGAGAGCACTCACCCCTGTGAATGTGCGGGAGCCGCAGAGTTGAACACTGTGAAGGGAGAACTGTCTCTCAGTGAAGCTGCTGAAGAGACAACACATGTAAACGTGCACTCTCTTTGGCCAGCTCACTGCACACCAGTGAAATGAGGCTCTCTCACCGGCGAGTTTGTGCTCATGATCAACAGGAAGACTGTCAGCCAAGGAAGCGCCCAGTGCACTCCTCAAAGAGGTCTGTGACCCGGAAAGGATTAAAACTCAGTGCTCTAGAAAAATTCCCCACTTCCTCAAAGGGCCAAACAGGGTTTCCATTTAATCCAGTAATTCCACTTGGAGGAACTGAAATTCCATACCCCGCCGTAGAAGCATACACATGCAAGTTCACAGCAGTAGATTCACAACAGCCTCGAGGCAAACAGCTCCAAACTGAGTAAAGCACAGACACAGGAGGCACTTCCATACACGAGGGTGGCAGCCAGAGGAGGGAGGAGTGACTAACTCCTGCCCTGATGGCCGGGGCCTTGGAAACATGCTCAGAGGAAGAAACCAGAAGACTGAGGCCAGCAGGTGGCATGGTGGTTAAGGCACTAGACCCACATGTGGCCGACGGTGGTATAAGTCCCGGACCTGGAGGCTAGCTTTCTCACTTTCTCTTACTGTCTCTCTCTGTCTCTTTCTGGTGAGCACAAGTGCCCTAAAGCTAGTTAAAATAATAATAATAGTGCATAAAATTAAATAAATAATTCTTAAAAAAAAAAAAAAAAGGAACCAGAAGACACAAAAGACCACATATTGTATCGTTTCATTCCCAGGGAAGTATCCAAAATAGGCAAATCCACAGGGACAGAGCGGGGTTAGTGGTTGCCTGGAGCAGGGAAGGGGAATGGGAGGCGACTGCTAAGGGACGGGTCCTCGGGGGGACGGGACCAGAATGTGCCCCGCACAGCCAGCCACTGCGCCATGCACTCGGGACGGCCGAGCTCTATGACACGGGGACTCTCGATGCATAGTTTCTTAATACTACAAGTACTAATCAGACGGGCAAACTTACCAATATTCTTTTACGATCCTTTTCTGATAAAAACTTTACTGGTGGGTATTTCTGGGTGAAGCTGTACAATATAAAGAGATTAAAAAAGAAAAAGTCAAACATCTCACGAGACTATCTTCCCCGTTAAGACAAATGCCACCCTTGGGACGTGTCACCATTCAATCCTTCCCTCTGTTCCAAATCAGTGCTGGAAGAACCAAAGGGTCACTGGCTGACCTGCGCTCAGAATCCCTAGGGCTGGCCCCTCAGTGCAAGGCGTTAAGTGCTGTGGGTTGGGAAGGGGGTCCCACGTGGCCGACCGCAGTCTGAATCTCAGCCCCAGCGGATGGAAAACACACCAGGAACGTGGGTGTGTGCAATCAAAATCCAGACAGGGTGATGCGGGGAGAGGAAGCGCAGTGTGAGCATGCCCTGGGGGGCTCCCACCCCCACACACACAAGTGCACACACTCTCTGACAATTAAAAAAAGTTAAAAAAAAAAATTCAACTTTTTCGAATTCCGCTAAAGACATGACTTGAGATTCCATCACGGAACAGTGACACTATAAGAAGTTACAGCTATGGGGACCGGAAGGTGGTGGTGTGGTTAAGGGTGCTGGACTCCCACATGGCTGACTATAGTTCAAGTCCTGGACCTGGCGGCTTGCTCGCTCGCTTGCTCTCTCTCTCTCCCCACCCCCATGGTCAAATTTAAATAAATAAATAAGTTAAATAAAACATATTTTTTTTAAAAGAGAAGTTACAGCTACCCGCAGCCACTAAAACAGACGTGTCACTACCTGTCCAGTCCACATAAACCCCCAGATGAGGGCAGCAGCTGCGTTCACAGGGTATGATCTCTGTGCCTTCTCAGAGAGGAGTGGGCGTGTGTGACACCTGGCCTCCTGCCAGGGCAGGCTCACATTCTGGCACGCCCCTTTGATCAGCACCCCTGGACAAAGCAAGTGGGCATCAGCACTGCCCGTCTCCCCTGGACTGCTCCGACCCTATCTCAGGCCTCGCCTTATCTCTCGATGTCCTCCTGACGCCTGTAAAAGTGCCACACTGATGCAGAAACAGGACCGCACACCTGGCATGCGGAGCGCCTAACGAAGCTGACCAAGGCAGACTTGAACCATTCGCCCTGAGCAGGATCCAGCTTGGAGCACACGTGCTTCGCATAAAAGCTGAGCTCAGTTTCACAGGTACTGTTTAACGGGAGAGGAGCTGGGCCAGGCGGCTCAGGCTCCGTCACCTCCCCATCCCCAGAACGAGCACAGCACTGGGAAGCAGGGTGCACCCATAGTGGGGGCAGGTGAACAGACTGTGACAGGCCACTGGACAGCAGACCTCGAGGCAGGTGTGCCTCACCTCCTGCAGGCGCAGGAGCATGCTTGAACGGGAGCGAGAGGGCTTTCCTTTGCAGGCAGGTGAACTCCCCTATAAAGCTTCAGACTACCGAGAGGCTGAACTCCCCTCGCACACTACAAACACGTGAATAGGCAACGAGCCAGGGCACAGGTGGTATTTCTGCCCCCGCCCCAGCTCTGTGACCCCAAAATCCTGAGAGAACGAAGGAGGAGAGATTGTGGCATGGCCATCCCTTATGGAGGTGATTTCCCACTTTCCCTCTTCTGTCTCTCTAGTGCAAATGCTAGTGCCTTATGGCAAAAATCTAAAAATAAATAAACAAACTTCAATGAGACCCTCTCAAATGATGCAGCTTTCCTGAAGGCAGAGCTTGGAACCCCCCTCCAGTAACATGGAATGATCTTACCACAACAGCACAGCAGTCAAAACTTACAGCACGAACAGCCTGGATGACTAAGGGGCTGTGTTAAAAATAGCTGGTGGGGCCGGCAGACGGTGTAGGGGTTACGTCCTGGACTCCCACACATTCAGAGGCCTGAAACGCACGTCGGGTGCGTGTGCATATGTGCCCCAGATCCCAGGAGTAGAATGGAGGAGGATTGTGGCACGGCCATCCATCCCTGAGGGGAGACTTTTCACTGTCTCTCTCTCCCTGGAGAGAACACGTCCTAAGGCAGAAACCTCTAAAAAAATAAAAACTGGTCATTTTACTCCAGTGAGGGTCAAAATCAACAGTATGTGTGACCACCCTGTTGAGGATGGGGAGAAAATGAAGGAACAGGCTTTGTTTGGTGCACCCGCTCCCTCCTGCTTCCTTTGATCATCCACAAAGCTCCGCGATGACCTGCCCTCACTTCCTCTTTGTTCGGCACTTGATAGAAGGCTCAGGTTGACATCACCCAAACTCATCCCCAAGGAAGAAAAAGAAAAAAAGCCCCCGTGAACTTTACGGAATGTGTCCACTTTTCTTTTCTCCATTTCTCAAGTCAATAGAAAAGACTGGACATGATGCGTGTCTGGTCTGAAGCGTGTCTGTTACTCTAGACATGACTTCTGGGGCCTGCAGCTGTTTCAGAAGTCCAAGTTCCTGAGATGAAGAGCTGATGCAACAGAGCCGCAGGGGGCAGCCACATCAAAGAGTGACCCGGAGAAACTGCCTTTGGGGTCAGATTCAAGTAAAAATGCATCATTTTACCCAGTTCTTCCCTCCCAGCTGCTGGGCCTGGACTAAAGTTAGAAAACTCCAGGAACACTTTGGCGGCACGAGAAGGCAAATAATTATAGTGACACCTGCCAGGCTCCACGCGCAGTTTCTTCCAGGGTGTCCACGTGGCCCTGTGTTCCAGGCCCTGAAGACCGCTCTGTTTTGGAATCCCCTTAGGCTAAGCAGTCTACGCCAGAAGCCACAACAACCACCTTGCAGAAGTTAGGAGCGCGAGGGTCACCCTCCACCCCCATGTCACAAATCTGTAGGAACTCAAAAAATCAGTCTAAACAGCAAGATCTCAACATAAGGCAGGTCCTTTCTTGTCCCAGTGTTCTATTTGGGCATTATGCTCCAGTGGGGACATACAAGCATGTTCACGTGTATGTGCAGACTGTCACGGACTGCAGACACCGGGCCAGTCAGCGGCCTGGCGGTCACTGGAGCATACCCCACACAGCTGACCACACGATTTCAATCCAGGATGCAGGGGTGTGAACACGTATCTGTGCACGTGTGTTCATGCCCAAAGTCCCAGCAAGACAGAGACAAAAGAGAAGGGGCTGCAGCCGGACTACGCCCAACGGGGGGGATGCTTTCTCCCTCCTTCTCAGTCTCTCTGGCAAGTGTGCATGCTCTCTGGCAATTAAAACAAAAAAAGAGTAGAAATCAAACTGATATTAGAGAACTTTCAGCTTAGGACCTGTGGTCAGTCTGTAGGACTAATACCCTAAAAAGTAATAGGCTCAAATAAACAAATCAGAATTTTTTTTTTTCTGGAAAGAATGAATATGGCTTTCATTAGAAATAGTCCTTGAACCAGCAGATGGCATGGAGGTTGGGGTGAATAGATTTCTCTCTCTCTCTCTCTCTCTCTCTTTCTCTCTCTCTCTCCAGCAAGCCCACATGCCCTATAGCAAATCTAATACATAAATAAATAAATAATCCTTAATAAAAATGAAAAAATAAAAGAAGATTTAAAAACCTAGATCCAGGGACCAGCAGATGGTATAGTGGCGTCGCTGGACTCCCACATAGTCAGTCGTGGTTCAAGTCCTGGATCTGGCGGCTTCACACTGACACTGGGTGTCTGTGTGTGCGTGCATGCCCAGAATCCCAGGAGAACAATGGAGGATAAGGGATGTCTCTGTCTCTCTCTGGTGAGTGCACACACTCTAAGGCAGAAACTTCTTTAAAAAAAATCCTAGATCTAAATCTTAAAGCTTAAAAATGTTTTTTTCTCAGTTTTGCCAGAGAGCACATGCACTCACTGGAGGGAGACAGAGAACAAGGGCAGTGGGAAAGCACCCCCATGCGGCATGGTCCTGACACGATCCCTTCCCCTTCCTTTCTCCCTCCTTCGGGGAATTAGGGGCATGCATGCAAATGTGTCTGTCATGTTTCTCAGGCCACTGGGTCCAGGCTCAAACTGCATAGCCAACTGTGTGGGATCCAGCTGCCCTAACTTCCATGCTACGGGCCGGTCCTAAAGTAAAAGTTTAATCTGCTCATGGTAAAGGTCCTTGTGTTGAGTGTGACTTACATTTTTCATGTTGTAGAATTAATCACTCAGTTGAGGCAAACTTAAGATTAACTTCTGCTCTTCACATAGCTAAGATATAAACATTTCCCTAAACTTAGAGCAAAAACGACACATACCTTTTTTCCAAATCTCTGATTTTTTCTCTTAGTGGTTCAACAATCTAAAGCCAAAATAATAAACAAAATCAGTTTTAAAGCCAAAGTACAGTCCTCCACCACCTCTCCCCAATTCCCATGTTTCAGAAAAACGACAATACAAAACATATTTTCACCTCTTCCACAAATTCGTGCCCAGTTTGGAATGAAGATATAACCCTGACTTTCAATGCTATGAAGGAGCAGATATGCTGATTTTTTTTTTTTTTTAAAGATTTTTGCCATTGGGTACTCACCAAAGGGAGAGGGAAAAGTGAGAAATTACCCTCCCCCCCAGGGGCATGGCCATGCCACAGTCCCTTCTTTTCCATTCTCCTCTTAGGACATTGGCTATGCATGCACACATGCGTGGAGTGTTTTTCGAGCTGCCAGGTCCGGGACTTGAACCGCACAGTTGACCATGTGGGATCCAGCACCTTAGCCTCCATGTAGCCTGCTGGACCATTACTTGATAATACCCAAGTCTCTGAGAAAACTCACCTTTCTACTCACTGTCTCTACTCTACGTTCTACTCTGTGTCTTACAAGGAGCTCGTAAAAGGCATCTCGGGTTGACAGGAGCAAGCCAGTCGACACTACCTGTCTCTTCAGGAACTAAAGAACAGCCTACGTGCGGTTCACAAAGCCAGCGCCTTCTGTGCATAACCGTATCACCCACGTCCCTCAGCTCCAGGACGCAGCCCAGACTGTGCGGAACCCGTGTGGGCACCTGAGGTCTGCCACAGGAGCGACCCAGGCTTCCCTCCCACACGCGACTTCGAGTCCAATGTAATCCCACAGGTCGTGTTAAAGCAACCAGCTGGGCCTACACTCACTCCGTATAAGCTCCGAGCACTTATCTGAGGATGGGGGTGGCGATCATGCAGCGGGCTCCTCGGTCTGTGTGACGCTCTCGGCTGACTGGGTCGTCCTCCTCTCAGCATCGGCTCAGTGAGGGGACGCTGACACTCTACCTCTTAAAGGTGACCACTTCCCTTTCTCTAAGAACACCGTCATGGTTTGAGTCCTGGGCCTAGTGGCTTGAAAATTGCTGGGCGCATGTGTGCATGCATGCATGCCCAAAATCCCAGGAGAATGGAGAAGGAATTGTGGCGTGGCCATCCCTCCTGGGGGGAAATTTCTCACTTTCCCTCTTTCTTTGTCTGTCTGTCTGTCTGTCTCTGTCTCTCTTTCTCTCTCTCTGGTGAGCACATGTGTGCTACGGCAAAAACCATTTTTTTTAAAAAAAGGCTCACCTGAAAACTCATGTGAAAGGATAAATCCATTTTGCCTTTGTAGAATTTGTTTCATTACAAGGGGTCTTCAAAGAAGTTCACAGAAGGACCAGCAGTGTGGTCTCCTAGTTAAGGGTGCTAGAACCCACATGCCTGGCCACAGTTTGAGTCCTGCCCCTGACAGCCAGAAAAACATGCGAAACATACATTCACACAGGCTCAAATCCTGACGGGATGGAGAAATGGAGAAGCCCCTGGGTGGGACCGTACCCCACCGGGTGTGCTTTCTCCCTCTGTGTGGCAAGCACCTGCACCTTCTGATAATTACTGGGTCACTGGAAAAGTCATGATGCATTTTTGCACAGAAAAGAATAGACAGTTATGTCATGGAGTAATGGTTACGTCACTGGACTCCCATGTAGCCGACTGCAGTTCGAGTTCTGGACCCAGCAGCTTAAAACTCACGCTGGGCACGTGTGTGCGCATGCGTGCCCAAAATCCCGAGAGGAGAGTGAAGAAGGGATTATGGGGTGGCCATTTCCCCTGGGGGGCGACTTCTCACTTTCTGTCTCTCCAGCTCTGTCGCTCCAGTGAGTACATGCACCGTACAGCGAAAATCTCTCTTTCCAAAAAAAAAAAAAAAAGGAAAAATATGTCATGACTTTTCCTAAGACCCAATATATTTCTACTTTTTAAAGTTCATGGAAAATGCATATTACAGAAAATTTTGCTTGGATTTCAAAATGTTTTGCCCCATAATAAACTCAGGCTGGCTCCGTGGCTCAATAGTTAAGGGAGTGGAATCCCACACGGCCAACAGCAGTTTGAAGCCTGGCCCCAGTGGCTTGAAAAACATGCCTGGCGTGTGCACATGCCCCAAATCCAGACTAGGGGGAGGAGGACAGAGGACTCGGGCAGGACCACACCCCACTGTAGGGTGGCTTTCTCGCTCTCTCCAACAAGCACATGCCCCCTGACAATAAAAATGTACACTGTACTTTAAGCCCATTTTCCATGAACTCCTTTAAGTGCCACATTCGTCACGCCTTTATAAGCATGAACAAACTCTGAGGAGGGGATAAAAAGTGTCCTCTTATAAAGTGAGAACGGACGTTTCTGAGAGCTGTTCCACGGCACGGCACTGAGCTGCCCATAACGGAGACCGGCTCAGGCGAAGGCAAGCAACTGGCCAAAGCGTGAAACAAACACGGAAAAGAGACCAACCTCTTCGATCTTGCTCTCAATTCTCAGCTCGCTGTTTTCCTGGATAGACCTGTGGAGTAGAAAGCTGCAAACTGAGATCAGTTGAAAGGCTTCGTGACCTCAAGACGCCTCTAGAGCAAATCGCCTCCCTCCAGGGCCACTGCCCCCTCCTGCCCAAGGGTGGGGCAGGCACTGATTCCTGGGAAGGGAAAGCCCCCCGGGGTGAGGAAGGACAGTTCGGGAAGGGCTTCGGGAAGGGCGCCCCCTTCAACTAAGCCATCCACGCAGGCGCTCGGGGCTCCCTAATGCAGTGTTTCTAGTAAATGAAAACCATCCCACATCCACGTTACACCCAACACGGTTTTCAATCAGCAGCAGGAAGTTTGTCTACAGGAGGGCATGTTTGTCTGCTGGGCTTTCCCAGGAATTTAGGGCAAAATAAATTTTTTCCAAGTAAAAACAGAGCTCCTTTAAAGACCGAGCACCCCGCCTAGCCACACACAGCGGCCTTTGTAGGAGACACAGCCTGGTGCTCAGATCAGACCAGCATCGCCCCACCCGCCCACCAGCAAAACCAACTCCACTTGAAAGGCCTCCTGGGGGCAAAGTAACCTTTTACCCTGGCTGCCTTGTGCAGCAGGCAGCACTGAAATTCCAATTCCAATTTAATCAGCACAATAACTGATGGTTATTCTCGCATTTTTAATACCCCCAAACAACCAAGTGGAATGAATTTTTCTTTACATGAAAACCAGGACTAGCAGTGCCAAGTCTGGGTTTACAATGAATGCTTTGTTACCTTTGCTCTGTAAAAAGAGGCTTATTTTTTTTTTATTCCATAAAGACATAATTAACAAAGATTTTACTTTCACAAGTGCCCCTCCTGATACTGTGCACTCAGGCTAGCAGGTTCTCAGCCTGGCCCAGGAGGGACATGGTGGCAGTATCCACAACCAGGAGCTGGTTCCCTGCGGCAGAGGTCAGCCTCAGCTTCCCTAGGAGAGCTTCCTACTGAAAAGGCTCTGCAGAAGCCTGTGTTCTTGCTGAAGCCACCCAGAAATAACAGTTTACACTTTCGAACTGTGGAAGTTCAGGTCGGCCTCAGTTATGGACCCAGGGTGGGAAGGGAGGAGTCAGGCAACACAGAACAGCCAATCACAGCCTTCGTCCTGGACATCACTTGGGGAACTTTAAAACCAGCTGCTGTGCTGGAGGCTGTCCATAGCAGACAGGGACAGCCCCACGTGCGAAAAGGAAAAAGCTCAGGCCCAACAGGTGGTGTAGTGGCTAAGGTGCTGGGCTCCCACATGTTCGACCGCAGTTCAAGACTGAGACCTGGCGGCTTGACACGCGGGCTGGGCACGTGCACATGCAAGGCTAAAATCCCGAGAGGAAAATGGAGGACAGGGTTTCTGGATGGCTCCCCCCCCAGTGGGTGATTTCTCAGTTTCTCTCTCTCTGGCAAGCGCATGTACCCTACAGAAAAAAAAAAAAAAAAATTCTTAAAAAGAGAGAGAGAGACAGAGAGAAAAGCACTGCATTTTGTTTTAAAAATGCTCAATTCATCCATGACATCAAGGTAGCCATGTAACTGAAATGTGCTACCAAACCCAACCACGAGGCCCGAGTGCTGAGACAGTTACCTCATATTGACGAAGTTGCCCCAAACAGCTGCAAGAGAAAGGAGAAACCAAACGTCAGTCTTACAGCCCACAGCACACAGGGACTCCAACTGATCACATTTTAATTTGTGACCAATATTTTAAAGTGCACTAAGAAAATGAAAGTTCTTAAAGACAATAACTTGTACAATTTGTTTTCAAATGAATAAAGTTCCACTAAAAAGTGGGCGAAAACACAATCGGATCTACCCCTGCGATTTGAGAATGCTTCCTGGGAGGCTGAAGTTTAGGGGTGCGTTGTGTTTTGATAAACAGGGTATCTTTGACCTTCCGGAAAGAGCCAGTCACAAACCAAAGAACCACACGCCCCAGAGAAATCCTGGTCCAGTGCAACCTCTCCCTGAGTGCGTGTGGTGTAACTGGACAGCAGGGTCAGCACGTCTCAGCATCTCCCAGGTGTCCTTTGTCCTAGACTTATCTGCTGGCGTCCCCTGTGATTACAGGCACAGGCACGTGGCAGGTGTGTCACATACATGTGACATTTAACCACAGACCACTGAAGCAATACCAGACATGCCCACGGCTTTCCATCCCCGAGCGGAGGATGGCTTCATAAAGAAACCTTCACTGTGTGGTCCTCCTACCTTGTACGCTTTCCTCATCAGCCTCATCCAGCCTCCACCAGACACAGAGAGCCTCCTGAGGGCCAGGTGCTCCCCAGGGAGGGGACACACTGCCCATACAGGTGCCCTCCCTGCTCCGAGGCTGGCAGTGTGAGCTTGGGAAGGCCTGGGGTGAGAACATAACCAATCCCGGGATCTGGGCACTGCCATGGTCTGACACACAGCAGGAGCTTCCTGAGTATTTACTGAACAGTCCAGGTTGTACCCCTCACAAGACCATCCCACCGTGGACAAGGGGACTATGGGTGATGTTCTAGAAGCACCTCTCTCCTCAAATGGAGGTTTTTACTGACAGAAACAGCAATACATACCTCAGTGGAAGCTATACTAGGTTCCCTGTTCATAAAAGAAACAATGTGTATACTTGGGTCATGTGGTTTTACTTTCCAGTCACTACCCTCAGGAGATGAGACTGATACAGGAAAACTGCCTCCACGGGTATCCTGGTCTTCTTATGTATCCTCTCTCTCTCTCTCTCTCTCTCTCTCTCGCTCTCGCTCGCTCTCCCTCTCTCTCTCTCTCTCTCTCTCACACACACACAAATAAGAATCAGAATGCTCCACAACTGGGGAACTGCTATATAAATTATAATAAAGCCATGAAATCAAAAGGTCACCAAATAAGACAATGAACCTGTTGTAATGTGATACATGCAGATGTGACAGCAGGAGGGGGAGCGCCTCCCGCCCATCACCCCATTTCCCTGACTTGGCAGCTGGTCCAGCTGGTCCTGCGGGTCCTCCTGGGCCTCTGGGAACATTCCCTGGGGCTGTTCCAGGTACACCCACGTTACTCTCACAGGCTAGGGGCACTGGGCCCTAAGCAGACTCTGCAGGTTCTGTACGTGAACCTGATAACAGAACCCTTAATCGATGAATGTACAAACCAGCCCCTGTCCTGGTGACCAGAACCCGCGTGGGTCTTTACTGCATTTATGGATGCTTTTCTATTTCCAAGTTTTGTTATTGGGCACATGTGCTCCCTGGAGAGAGAGTTAAGAAATCACCCTCCAGACTCCAGATGGAATGGCTACACTGCAATCCCTTCTCCTCCATTCTCCTCCTGGGATTCTGGGCACATACGCACAAGTGCCTAGTGTGAGTTTCAAGCCGCCAGGTCCCGAATTCAAACCCACGGTCAGCCATGTGGGATCAGCGCCTTAACTACTACGCCACCTGCTGGCCCCGAATGCTTGTCTTGTCTTTTTGCCATAGGATGCCTGTGTTCACTGCAGAGAGACAGAGGAGGGAGGCGAGGAGTCACCCTTGAGGGGACTGCACATCACAATCCCTTCTCCATTCTCTCAGGATTTTGGACACATCCACACAATCGCCCAGCATTATTCTCAAGCCACCAGGTTCGGGACTCAAACTGCAGTTGGCCATGTGGGAGTCCAGCCCCTTAACCACCTGGACACTTGCTGGCCCCAAATGCTTTGCTTTTAACCTGTCACCTGAGCCTGTGTTCCCTGAGGGCAGGCCCATTCTCAGCACAGTCTCCCTAGTCACCTCCAGGCCTGTCTGCCCTTCAGTAAGTAATCACGGCCAAGCCCCCTCAGACTTGGGGCTCCCCCGGACGGGTACCACAGGGGGAATATTTACATACAGTACGGCTTCCACCAGTGAAAAACCACGCTGGGGGAGAAAAGACTGAAACTGCCCACGTACTGAGTCCCAGTGGTGCCATGACCAACTGCTTTCCCTGGTACTTAAGTTTCTCTCGCCTTTTTTTTTCTTTTCTTTTTTTTGGAAAGGTTTTTTTGCTATAGGGCGCGTGCGCTTGCCAGACAGACAGAGAGACAGAGAGACAGAAAGTGAGAAATCACCCCCCAGAGGGGATAGCTACACTGCAATCCGTTCTCCTCCATTCTCCTCTCGGGATCTTGGGCACGCACGCACATGTGCCTGGCGTGAGTTTAAGCCACCGGGTCCGGGACTCAAATCACAGTCGACTACATGGGAGTCCAGCGACATAGCCATTACGCTAACTGCTGGTCCCAGTTTCTCTTGCTTTTAAAAAAGGGGACAAGAGAGTTCTAAACCCTCCCTGCCCGGTCCCCCTGTCCTGGTCTCATCCTCGACATCCTATCTGGATCAACCCTCGGCTCACGGACCTGGCCCAAAGGTGTGGACACTTTTCTCTACTGCGCTATCAAAATAAATACAGGGCCTCATCTGGGCTTGGGATTAAGCAGTTTATCAAAACAGAGCAGCCCCACTCTTGGAAGTCTATGGAACCTTGGACAAAGCAATGGAGCATCCCGTCATGGTCATTCTGTGGTTACTCATTCACTTAGTTTCCTCTTTTCCATCTTCCCCCAGGTCGGCCTAAGATACTCAGCTTAGAGACATCTCTGACCCCTCTATATCACTTAGCCCATTCTAGGCGCCCCAGGCTGACCCCCTCCAACGCCTTTCCCACCCTCGGGGGTGTTCTCCAGAACGTCTCCTCTCTTCCACTCCTCCCCAAGTACCTCTCCCAGGGGAACAGGGTGGATGTCAAGGAACTGTCTCCCTTTTCTTACATTACCCCTTTTATCTTTGGAAGTGTTGTAACCAATTAATTCTTACAATGTTTTGATGTCTAGTGTGTCAGGTTAAACGGAATTTGCTTGGCCTCACGAAGCATCAGATAAAGGTCAGAGGCTGGCGTGAGCAGTCGGTCCCACCAGCAGCAGGGCAGGTGGAAATGACACAGGTCCACACCCTAGAAAGGCAGCAGTCTTTAGGCTAGAAAAAGGGTCACAATGAATGTAAGTTGTTCTGGAAGAGTTTCCAGAGACAAAGAAAACGGAGGAGGGTCTTGGGGGATGGAGAAGTGGCAGGATTGGGTGAAAGTGACTCCCAGAGGGGCTCTGCGATGCATCCCAAACCCCCTGCTTTCCTCTGGATGGTGTTGGAGCAGCTGAAGTTCTTTAAGGTCCAGATCTCTAAGAATAGAGACCCGCCCTGAGACGCAGAAAGAAAAACCACAAATGCATGTCAAGTAGGAAAAGGGAAGATATTTAATACAAAAGAAACACACCTGCATGCCCGAAAAGCAGCAGGTGGGCAGCTTCCCCGGGCATGGGGTGAGGCTGGCAATGGGTATTTCTCAGGGAGAGGTCTGTCATCCACAGAAAGACCTTGGGGGAGAAGTGACAGTTCCTGGTCAGAGTGAGAGGGCTGCTCAGTCACCCCACGTCCTCTTAGTTCTGCGGCCCTTACACACACGTTTGCACATGTGTTAGCAATCTGGTTTCCAGATACACTGTCTCCAGAAGTGTTTCTGGTCGCTTCCATCTTCAGAGCCCCCACCTGCTTTGCTTTGGGAGCACAAAAGACCCACAGCAGGGCGAGCCGGGTGGCCCTCTGTCACGGCAGACTTGCTCCAGGGAGAGAACACCAGCAATTTCCACAGTCTGGAGGCCCTGCTCCTGCACTTCTGTGCAGAGTAGCTGAGAACACGGCAGCATACAGACTTTTTTTTTTTTTTTTTGGAGAGATTTTCACTATAGGGCACATGCGCTCGCCAGACAGACAGAGACAGAGAGACAGAAAGCGAGAAATCACCCCCCAGGGGGGATGGTCATGCCGCAATCCCTTCTCCTCCATTCTCCTCTCAGGATCTTGGGCACGCACGCACACACGCCTGGCGTGAGTTTTAAGCCACCGGGTCCGAGACGCGAACCGCGGTCAACTACGTGAGAGTCCAGCAACATAGCCATTACGCTAACTGCTGGTTCCCAGCATACAGACTTTAAAGTTAAGGGTCGGAACCAGCAGGTAGCATAATGGTTATGTTGCTGGACTCCCACGTAGTCAACTGTCATTCGAATCCTGGACCTGGAGGCTTAAAACTCATGCTGGGCACGTCTACATGCATGCCCAAGATCCCGAGAGAAGCGTGGAAGAGAAGGGATTGCGGCGTGACCATCCCCTCTGAGGAGGGTGATTCCTCGCTTTCTGTCTCTCTCTGTCTCTCCAGCGAGCACACACTCCCTATAGCAAAAATGTCTAATAAAAGAACAAAAGAAGTTAAGGGCCAGTGGATGGCTTTGTGATTAAGGTGCTAGATCACACATGGCAAACTACACAGGTCAAATCCCAGACCTGGTGACTTAAACACACTGGGGGTGTGTGTATGTGCCCCAAATCCAGGGAGGAGCATGGATGAGGGGGACGGTGGTGTGGCCATCCCCCCTGTGGTATGGGGAGGCAGCGATTTCTTGCTTTCCCTTTCTCTATCTCTCTCCTCTCCTGAGCACACAAGGCCCTATGGCAAAAATCTTAAAAAAAAAAAAAATAAATAAAAGTTAAACATTTAAAATTCATATTGCTTTTAGAACTTGCCACCTGCTTGAGTTATTTCTGTATTTAGGCATCCTGATATGAAGGAGAAAACCAGTTCAAAGAAATCTATCACATACAAATTTTCATTAAGGGCAAAACAATAAAAGGAATTGAGAGTCCTTTTGCAATAAGTAATAAAACCAAAATGTTAACTCAATACTGGGACCAGCACATAGCATAATGGTTTCATCACTGCATTCCCATGTAGTTGACCACGGTTCAAGTCCTCAACCCGGCGGCTTAAAACTCACACAGGGCGCGTGTCCATGCCTGACCAAAAATCCCAAGAGGAGAATGGAGAAGGGAATGCAGCACGGCCATCTTCCCTGGGGGTGGTTTCTCACTTTCTGTCTTTCTGCTGAGCAAAAGAACCTTATAGCAAAAATCTCTCCAAAAAAAAAAAAAAAGTTAACTCAATATTTAATATTTGTTAGTCTAACTTTGTTTCTTAAATATTAATCTGCTATCATTCAAGATAAATCCTTTTAGAACAATTTTTGTCTGAGGTCTCCATGAGTTCATGACTGAGTCTCAGGAAGGCTTGGGGAAGGGGGAGGATACCTTGACAGTACAAGCAACATCAAGTGTCCACAGCCTTAAAAAGTCCTCCACTAGGTCCAGAACCTGATGGCTTGCTTTCTCACTTTCCCTCTTTCTCTGCCTTTCTCTGGTTAAATTGAAAAATAATAATAAATTAAATTAAATTAAATTAAATTAAAATAATTCTTTAAAAAAATTTTTTAAGTCCTCCACTGAGTTCAAGACCTCAAACAAACAAAACCACCAATTGAGGATCCAGAAAAGCTTGGAATTTTAAGAGGCACATTTGTTTTAGAATAGGGGTAGGATCTGAATCCCTGAAAGCCAGACCACACAGAGGCACCCAAAGTTCTGGTCTGGGCAGCAAATTCCATGGCCCACTTTTAAACACGGTTATAATGCTGGATCACATAAAATGACCATTGATTTTACAATTAACCACTTTAAAAGAAAAAAAATATATATATACACATATATACATACATTATTTATTATATAACCAGAGGGAGATGGAGAGAAAGAGAGAAAGCAAGCCACCAGGTGCGGGACTAGAACTGTGTTCGGCCATGTGGAAGTCTAGTGCTTTACCCCACATGACACCTGCTAGTCCACAAACAACCATTTTAAAAGGCTGCACAACGCTTTATGCTTTCTTGGGCATTCTGATCACCTCCTTTAACCCAGAAAGCACATGCACTTTGAGTCACAGGAAGAGGGTGACGTGGGAAACTCCGCTCCCACCCCTCACGTGAGCACGCCCTGAACCTCTGGACGGCAAGATACCCCACAGACCAGCGGCAGGAGGCAGCCGGGGCCACTGGGACCCTGTGCACACTCCCTAAAATCCTTCCTTGCTCATGCAGGGCCTGTCGTTCAGCAAACCCAGTGTCTGCAGACGCACAAGGAGTAACGCTGGAGCACTTCACCAGCAGGCAGTGGGGGGCAGCGTGAGGTCTGGGGGAGCCACAGAGAGGGCCTGGGGAAGGCTCCCAAAGGCTGAGCTGGCTGACAGAGCAGCAGGGGACCCTGGACTACAGGGAATTCAAAGTAAGATCCCCGTTCCTGCAGTGAGAGGACAATGGGGCGCCTACCCAGGTCGCCACTTCAGCACTGGACAGAGCACAAAGAAGGAGAGGCACCCCGCCCCCAAAGCCCTGACCAAGTCTCTCTTGAGCTACCATTTAGGAGCAGGAGCCCCACCAACAAGCTAGGCGGTCTCCTGGCAAAGAGCCCTAATCCGAGCTGCCCTTCAGTATGAAAAGGCTCCCAGGGACCAACAGTGACTGAGAGGTGGCCTGGGGCCAGGATGGAAGAGGCTAGTCTTAACCCAGAAAATCCAGGGCTCTCCTGGGCTGCCCACAGGGTCTGGACTTCACACCCACTGAGAGCCACCCTCTGCGGGAACCCACTGCAGTCCCAGCTGGGCATTTGGTAAGGACCCAGGTGACTGCGCCCCTCCTGCCACCACCCCCACCTGCTGCCCTCCTCTCCACTCTTAGTCCTGCCCAGGCCAACCTTGCCAGCACCTCCTCCACCTTGCCCAGCCTGCCCCTGCCTCGGGCCTTTGCACTTAGTCTTTTCCGAAGGTCTCTTCACCTGCCTCCCTCCCTGGGTTCACTGGGGCTCAGCTCAGAGGGTGCCTTATCCAGGAGGCCTCTGAGCAGCCTCTGTGGGAGCACCCCACCACCGGGCTCACCCTCCCACCCCTCCTAGGCTGCTGTTTCCCTCCGGGGCACTCTCCACGGCCAGCACACCTCTGCACCTACTTCTGAGAGTCTGGGTTTGCCTCCGTGTTCCCTCAGTTAGAGGCTGTCTCCACGGCAGCATCTGCTCTGTGCAGCTGCTGTGCAGGGCAGCGAGACAGGGGAACGTGTGTTGGAATATGCTCACCAAACATCTGCTGAGAAAGTGAGTACATGGAGCCTCCTCACATTTACTCACATTTCAAGGCAGGGCTGGCAAACCTTGTCTATGAAACAGTCAGATCCTCTCCACGCCACGTCTGTTAGCTGTACAGGGTTTTGGAAGAGGAAGATAATCTTGCTGTTACCACGCCACTAAGAGTAAACAGATATTTGGGGAGAAATCAGATGGGAGAAAATACTTTGAGTTAGTGGGACCAGCAGTTGGCATAATGGCTATGTCGTTGGACTCCCATGTAATCGACCACGGTTCAAATCCTGGACCCAGTGGCTTAAACTCGTGCCAGGTGCGTGTGTGTGCGTGCCCAAGACCCTGAGAGGAGAATGAAGGAGAAGGAATTGTGGCGTGGCCATCCCCCCAGGGGGTGATTTCTTGCTTTCTGTCTCTCTGTCTCTCTGTCTTTCTGGCAAGCACAAGCACCCTATAGCAAAAATCTCTCCAAAAAAAGAGAATACCTTGAAGCAAACAGCCAACCGTCACCTGTAGTGACAGATGTCACACATCCCAGGCAGCAGAGAAGAGGTTGCAGGCCTTGAACTGTGAAGGCCCCTCTGGTCTGCAAGGTCCCATGGGCCAGGCTAAGGGTGACCCGGCAAGTCCCCAGTGCTGTGTAACTGAACCAAAGACTACACGGCCGTGCTTCCTCGCATGTCGGAAACGAGCTGGCTGGGATCAGCAAACCCCGTGCCAGCGTCCAGGGCTGTGACAGCAGCAGGACACACGAGTCCAGCACCCTGGGAGGTCCCAACAGTAAGAGAGGTGGACTTGGACACCTGGAACACGTTAACACCATATGAAAGGTCAGTGGACGTGCTCTGTCCTACAAAATACCCTACAGGGCTGCACCCGCCCACGCGGGGACCAGAGTAGACGGTGGCCCACTGGCACCACAGAGAGTGAGACCGGGCCGGGGTGCTGCGCGTGGGCTGGGTGAGACAGGGTTCGGGCAAGGTGGAGGACCGCCAGGGCGGCAGTTGGGATAAGAACCTGCCCAGCCGCAACCCAGGCAAGGGTGTCTGACTGTGGGAAGGCCCGTGCAGGCCAGGGGACCTCTGACTGTGAGGGTGCCCTGGGTCTCGGCATGGACGAGTCTGCCACCACAGCCCGGGGTCTCTGGGCAGCTCCACGCAGTCCCCCGCCTGCTGTTCCTTTTTCTTTTCCTTTTCTTCTTTTTTTTTTTTTTTTAAGTTTTATTTCTTCCATGAAGAGAGAGCACCTGTAACACGACCTCTATGCCATGACCCGCCCCAGGCTCTGCCAGCATCAAGGGGCACATGCAGGCCGCGCAGGGAGGTCTCTGCACGTGAACCTGGAGCCTTCCCCATGGCCGGCCTTGCAGGGTGCCATGCTTTCCCACTGTGCCAACACGGGGCCCGTGCACTGCTGCTAATCAGAGGCTGCGGTGGGGGGCGGGGCGGAGGGGGACGGGAGCCCGCAGCTGCCTGTGACATGCTCAAGGCCACACGGCTGGTGCCTGCCCCGTGCCTAGGGAGAGCCCTCTCACTCAGGCCCCAGCCTGTCCTCTGCACTAACCCCCACTCCCGGACGCCACGTGGCACCTGCTCACACTAGAACCCAGTGATAGCAACCCCAGGCTCTCGGGAACGCAGTCTGAGGGGGGTGGACAAGGAAGACCCTCCTCATCTCAGGAGCAGGGAATGTAGCGCCAACCTCCCGCTGCTCAGGGCAAGAGCAGATACTTAGGAAAGGGTTGGAGGCAGAGATCTTGCACAAACGGGGGCACCTTGAGCACAATAACAGGCAGAGAGGGCCGGCAGGTGGCATGGTGGTTAAGTGGATAAGGGCGCTGGGCTCCCACATGGCCAACCGCAGTTCAAGTCCCAGACCTGGTGGCTTGTTTTCTCTCTCTCTCTCTGTCCCTCTGGTCAAATTAAAATAAAGTTAAATAAAAGAATTCTTTTTATAAAAAGGGCAGAGAAAGTGCAAAGCGATGCTGCGTGTGCACTCATGGCTGGGCTGCTCACTGCTCCTCTCCAGCTTCTCTGAGAAGCCAGCTGCACTGAAAAGCCCCGTCTGACTGAGACTCGGCCTGGCTGGGCCTGGCTGCTGAGCGCTCCCTGCAGAGCTGTCAGTGTCACTGTTCTCCACGCCAAGGAGCCTCCCAGGTGGCACTTTCAAAACCTGTCCAAGGGGCCAAGGGCGTGGTGGTTAAAGAGTTGTTCCCATATGGCTAACTGAGGTTCGAGTCCCAGACCTGGCGGCTAGAAAATCACGTTGGGCACATGTGCATACATGCCCAAAATGCCAGGAGGAGAGTGGAGAAGGGATCATGGCATGGCCATCCCCCTTGGGTGGTAAGTTCTCACTTTCCCTCTCTCTGTCTCTTTCTGGAGAGCACACACATCCTACAAGGAATAACAACAAAAATCCCTGTCCAAAATTTCTTTGACAGACCTTTACAGAGGGCAGCTCCGTGTCCCCTTGATCTGCTGGGCTGTGCTGCCTGGTCTGCAGGGGAGGGCAGCAGTGGCTTCTGAAGACAGCCACAGAGGGCTAGTGCTTCCGCTTTGTGTGCTGGGACACATGAGCTGGGCACCCGGGGACATGTGGCCCCCTGCAGTTGGACAGGTGCATGCAGACACCCTACAGCCAGCCCTGAGTTTGTCCTTGGAACGGACTGTGAAGAATCTGCCTATATAGGTTCCCAAGCTCATTCTTAGAGTCACCTCGGCCAAGGGCCCGACCTCCAAAACACAGAAGCATACTCCACGCCATTCTGAATTTCTGAGCTTCTACAGAGCAGTGAGCGTGATAAATGGCGGGTTCCCACCACTAAGCCCCAAGTGCAAAGCTCAGAGCTGCAAGCACAGCCAGAACCTTCAGTCCCCTGATGCACACACGTCCTGGTTGACATCCTAAGTCGAGCCAGCTAAATCCCTCCCATGGCAAACATTACCAAGTGTGTCTGCACCGTCTCGAGTAAAAGGCACAGCTTAGCACAGAGATGGGTCCAGCTCGGCAGAAACCGAGGGCCACAGCTGGAGTCCTGGGAAATCCTGAACCAGTAGCCCAGGCGCATGCCCCAGCTGACTGTCCACCCTCTGCCCCTACCTGAGCCAAACACCGAGGGGGCACTCCTTACCTCCAAAGAACCCCAAGGCTTCTAGCACTCCAGGGAAAAGCAAATACTTGCCCTGCCTTCGATAAGTTTTGAGGTGGCACAACTGACATGCTTCCTCAAAACAGGTAAGAGTATGTACTATTCTTGTAATACGAAAAGCATTAAAAGTTCCATTTAAACTGACCGGAAGGTTCAATCAGAATGTGTTACTCTGTTCTCGAAATTTTTGTTTAAACCACGTGGAAGGTTTAACTTAGAAGGTACTATTCTGTTTTTAATTATTTTAATAGGGGGATGTGCAGATATGAGGGAGCTTCCCAGTCTGCAGTTCCCACGGAGACCGAGGTGCTAAAAGGTCAAGCGGCAGGATCACCCCAAAGAGCAGTGGTCATGATACAGGGCCCTGCCCACTCCCTAACCTGTAGGAGCCTTCTTCCCAAAACCCTGGACCTCGCCCGCCCGGCCTGCACTCTGTGGTGAAAACTGCCCAGATGGCAATTCGGGGTATCTAAGCAGGTTCTGGTAACAGCGTGTGCACACATCTCAAGCAGAGGGCACCCTGCGATCAGACCTCCCCACGGCCCCAGCCCTGCCCTTGGCCCTCCTGGAGGCTGGCCCTCCAGGGAGGAGCCCAGAAGCCCGCAAGAGAAAGCCCCGTAACCCCAGCCATAAAAACCTCGTCAGTGAGTCAACCTTCACACAGACTCACCTAATAAAGTCCTACCAACGCTCCCAGGGAAAACTTCTACACTGAGATGTTACTACTTACTTTAAATGTCTGTCTTCCAGAAAAAGACGGAGAAGAGAAACAGAGAGGGAGGGAGGCACCTCCGACAGGGATGCAGGCCGTGGTCCGTCCCTAGTCTCAGAGCCTTGATCACGGGCACTTCGGGAGGGCCCGGGCCAGGAACTCGGGACATGTCCCGTCTGGGACCAGTTGTGCTTGGCCCTCAGCCGCTACATTTTTAAAAAGAAGTGGTTGAAACACTGCAGGCAAGGACAGGCTTTGTAGGCACCTCGGACGTCAAGGGCTCCGTAGAGAGCGATTGCATGCAGTAGAGGCCATGGTTGCTTTTAAACAGTTCATGGATGCTTATTTTTCTGAAGTTCCTTCTACGGCATGTACATTCACCAGAGAAGGGGGCGTGAGGAAGCTCCCCCAAGAAGGATGGCCACGTTGCAATCCTCTCTCCTCCATTCTCCTCTCAGGATCTGGGGCACACACATCACCTGCCATGACTTTCAAGCCAACGGGTCCAGGACTCAAATCGAGTCAGCCATGTGCGACCCAGCGCCTAAACCTCCATGCCACCTGCTGGCCCATCCATATATACATTTTAAAATGACATGCAGGTGTTAAGTCATCGGGCAAGTTGATGTATCTTTCTGTGCAAAATGAGTCATGACGATCCCGACAACCCAGGGTGTTTATTCTAGAAGAAATTCTAAGGCACATGAATAGTACAGCCGTTCCTAGTCCATTGTTATTCAATTCTACAACCCATAGGAAGAGAGTTTTAAATGCATTTTTTAGGTCTTCGAGGGATACTGATTTGGTCTAGTCCAGGCAGAGCAGTATCACAGCTTTCAAAGTACCCAGTAAAGACCCCGAGGCCCCCCCCAGACAGTACACTGAATTGTAAATTAGATGTTCAAAACTCGTAAGCTAGAAGAGCCAGAAAATACAAAACCATTTATTTATCCCAAGGAAATCTACCTCTCTCTCTCTCGCTCTCTCTCTCTCTCTCTCCCTTTTAAGAGATTTTGTTGCTATAACGTGGATGCACGTGCCTGCCAGAGAGACAGAAAGTGAGACTCGTCCCCCACCCCCGGTGGATGGCCACACTGCAATCCCTTCTGCGCTGTTCTCCTCTTGGGATTCTGGACATGCAGCACACGAGCCCGGCGTGAGTTTCAATCCACTGGGTCCAGGATTCTAAGCATGGCTGACTACATGG